TTTGTCCTCTTTTACAGTGTGAACAAAAATGGGGGCTATGCAATTAACCTGACAAACTCTGGGGGAACCCACAGCAGGCCTGACAAGCTCAGTGACAGAAGTAACCACACAGGAGGGTCTGATCATAAATTCCTAGCTGGGCAGGCCACAGCAGGCAGCCAATTCCCAGGCCTCCAGCTGCCATAGCAAACCCAGTCTTTACCATGAGTGAGTCCTGACTATTATTCTTTTTTTTTAATTGTTATTATTTCTTTATTGATTAAGGTATCACATATTTGTCCTCAAACCCCCCCCCCCCCCGGCATTTCAATCCCCTCCCCCCTACTCATGCCCTCACCCCCCTATTGTCCTTGACCACATATGTATGCACATAAGTCCTTTGGTTGATCTCTTCCTTTTATCCCACCCTCCCTTTGAGGTCCAACAGTCTGACCCATGGCTCCTTATCTCTGGGTCTGTTCTTGTTCATCAGTCTATGTTGTTCACCATTTCCCCTAGAAGAATGAGATCATGTCCTATTGGAAATATATTTATAAGAATAAAAAATGAGATAAGCAATAATCATTATGCTGAAAGGCATATGGATCAGTCTGTAGTGAGTATTGTTCTTATGCATCTAGGATAGTAGTAGGCAAACTGCGGCTCTGGTGACTAATGAGTTTGCAGACCAGTGGGATTGGGGCTTAATCACAAGGAACAACAACAGCCTGTAATTACTGGAATAGAGAGTCAGTAGTCCGCAAACTCATTAGTCAACAGAGACGTGGTTTGCTGACCACTGATCTAGGATAACGCAGCTTTGCAATGTCGCAGTAATTTTCTTTTCTAGAACCTTCCCTGGCACAACCTCAGGCATTGGAGCACAAGATCACCACAGCAGGAGACCACAGAACCCTTCATTGTTATCTTGTTCCCCAAATACCAGTTCTATATTTTATAAACATTAATTATTAATCATCCTGTACCACCAATGTAAAAAGTTGTGCTTCTCCATTTTTGCTCTTTATCCAGTCCTACTGATTTCCCTGCAATGCTTTTCCCCACCTCGTTAATCTACCTCAGATGTGAAAGGGCAGAGCAGGACTGACTCCATTTTGTTCTGTGTCATCCATCTTGTGTAACAACGTCCCTGACATTACTCCTTTCCGAGAAAAACCGCAGAATATGTCAGTTACCCAACCCACCCTTAAATCAGCCAGTAGAAATGCAGAGGAAAGTAACCCGGAATAAATGGACCCTGGGCCTCACTCCACCAATCGGAACCAGCCAACTCAGTGGTCCGAGCATCATCCCACTACCCAACCCTAAGCCCTATAAAGAGGCTGTACTTTCAGAACTGGGGGCTCTTTGCATCCTGCTGCTGTGTTGGTAGAGACGGAGAGACAGGCTCAGGCTTGAATAAAGGCTCTTTGCTTTTGCATCGGACTTGACTCCCTGGTGGTCTTTGGGGATCTTGAAATCTGGGCATAACAAGATGCATTTTATGTACCTCCCTTACTTTTTTCTTTCTCTTTCTTTCTTTCTTTCTTTCTTTCTTTCTTTCTTTCTTTCTTTCTTTCTTTCTTTCTTTCTTTCATTCTAAATGCAGAAAAGAAAGTGGCAAACTCCATTCACTGAAGCATTTTCTCAATCTGTTGCAATTTTGCTTCTGGGCATGTCTTCAAAATGTAGTGTCAAATAAACTCTTACAAATTTTTTCTATATGCTACACTTTCTTTGGTCAACAACAGCCATACAGGAAGTTCCCAAAGGGTCTCTTTTGCCCAGGTGAGGCTATGGGTTCCTCCCTGAGTCTGATCCCACCTCTATTATTGGACACTGAATATTCTCACTCTTCTTCTCTCCTGATAGTCCAGGGAGTTTATTCTTAGTTTCATATTTCTTCTGTCATTTCACTGGGATTTGGGGAATAAAGAGGAGGTAAGTTTATTATTTCAGTGAGCTTTCAAAAACTGTGGTTAGCCCAGCCAGAGTGGCTCAGTGAACTGAGCATCCTCCCATACACCAAGAGGTTGCTGGTTCAATTCTGGTCAGGGCACATGTCTGAGGTCAATCCCCAGTAGAGAGGAGTGTTGAAACATGTGATGCTTCTTTCTCATCAATGTTTCTATCTCTCCCTTTCCCTTCCTCTTTCTCTGAAAATCAAGAAAAACATATTTAAAAAAACAAAAACAAAAAAACAACTGTGGTTATTAGCTGGTTTTGGAAAAAGAAACAGATGTCTGTTTGACAACTCACAAAGTTGACTTCTGATAGTATTATCACTTCTTCCCAGATGCACTCCTACCCTCAAAATATGCCATGCAGATGCTCAATGCCAGTGGGCCCTCACTGCCTCCCACCTCAGTGTCCCAGCCAGGAGCATACCAAAGCCTCCCAAGGCCCCTGGGGTTACCTGGGGAGGCCAGGGAGCTAGCATTAAGTGGGGGTTCTTTCTAAATGCAGAAAAGAAAGTGGCAAACTCCATTCACTGAAGCATTTCACTGATCTGAATAGTTGGGACAGGTGTGAGAGAACCCCTGAAAACATTCTCCATAGACTAGCTTTGCTGATTTTGTTTTTATTATAAGAACCTTGTATTGGATAGACTCCTTGTCCTTGGTCTCCATAGATTTAATCAGTTCTTTTAGACTGAGGTATGATTCCGTGATCTAATAAGAAATATAGATTTGGTCTTCAAGCCCAGTTCCTAGCTTAGAAGTTCTAAAACCCTTGGAATTTCCTGAGTGGTCAGGGTGAAGAGCACCTATTGTTATTTATAACAAGCTCCTTTCAATCCATCCAGAGTTTATGCTAATGAGGTGACTCTTGGAAAGAAGAGGGTTTGTAGCCAAGGAGACCAACCCTGGGATTAGAGGGTTGGAACTTTCACTCCATCCCTGACCTCCAAGGAGGGGAGAAGGGCTGAGATTGCTTTAAACACCAATGGCCAAATGATTAAATCAATAATGGAATCTCTGGCGGGGGGGTGGGGGAGGAGACACCACAAAAAACAACTCTAAATAAATAAAGGGGTTCTGAGACTTCTGGGTCAGTGAACACATCCAGGTGCCGGGAGGGTGGTGCACCCCAATTCTATGGAGACAGGAGCTCCTGACCCTTCCAGACTTCATCCTGGGTACCTCTTCATCAGATAGCCAAATCAGACAGAGGGGTGGGTTACCTGAGGGCTATGACTTGTAAACAGTGTTTGATGTGGGGAGGGAGGGAGGAGCAGTCTCATGAACCTGAGCCCTCCATCTGTGAGGTCCGTGCTAACTCCGGATAATTATTGTCAGAACTGGTTAAATGACGGGGATAAACCTCACAGGCAAGCTGTTAGAAGTGTAGTGGGTAGGGAAATTGTTTGCTTTATGAGGTTACTTAGATTGCAAGAAAAACAAACAAACAAACAAAAAAAACCCCTCAAATATTTGTCAAAAGAATTTAAGAACAGCACGCCCCACACCCAATTTCTATGTGTTTTTTAACAGAAAGCACGTAAAGAAAAATGAAGCTACATATTCACGAGGCTCCATAGCAGGTTGGTCTGATGCCAGAACCCATTCAACTTGGGTTGGCCTTGAGTAGTACTCTCAAGTTGATTTATAACCCAAGTCTCTTTACTATTCAAGGCAGCACACAGCCAAAGCCCAGGCATCAAAACAGCAACCAACAAATTAACATGATCCTTGCAAAACTCAATCAAACATCTGCACCCAAAGGCTGACACACAAAGACCCTGCGCTGCTCCAGGACGGCATAAATTATAAAACTGGATTCAGTGTTTAAATGGACTGTGACCATTTTTTTTTTTTTAAATATCTGTCCCATACCCTTCTACTGGGATATTTAACTTTGTATTTTAGTTTAACATGCTTGTGAAACATTACGCGTCACCAAGGTTATATTTGTAAAAGCCTTCAATTGTGGATTTTTTTTTAAAGGCTACTCCATTGCAACTCTCCTAACAAAGAAAAATGCATTGGAATCCGAGAAAAGTAGAAATAGAATAAGGTTCTTAACTTACCAGGGGAAAAAGATTTAGACAATTATTTTTTACCCCCTTCTAAGTGCTTCTAAAGCTAGTATGCAAAAAAATGTTTGTTAAAACTTAGAATAGACAATTAGAACAAATCATTAGAGGGAAAAAGTAAAGAGCATTGCCCTAAACAGTTTGGCTCAGTGGATAGAGCACTGGCCTGTGGACTGAAGGGTCCCAGGTTCTATTCCTGTCAAGGGTATGTGCCTTGGTTGGGGGCACATCCCCAATAGGATGTGTGCAGGAGGCAACTGATTGATGTTTCTTTCTCATCAATGTTTATCTCTATCCCTCTCCCTTCCTCTCTGTAAAAAAATCAATAACAATATTTAAAAATAAAATAAAATAAAGAGCATGGATTTGTAGGCACAGAAACAGGCCTGGGAACAGTAACAATAAGCTGCTCATGGTTTCCTCGGTCCAGATGCATTGCCTACTTTCTCCTGTACCCTGAGTACTGCCTCCAGCTAGACCTTTCCAAAAACCTCACCTTTCTCCCTGCTCTAACCCTCATCTCACTATACGTCTATCCTGGCATCTATAACTCTTCATTAAACTGTTGTTTACAAAACCATCATGTTCACCAGATGTAAGTTCCTTGAGGGACAGGACAAAGTCAATGCCTGAGTCTTCTACCACATTGTAGTTACTCAATGTTTGTTGAATGGCACAATCTAGAGCCAACATTTGTGCAACTGAAACTATTGGAGATGAATAAGAGCACTCATATGAGCAGGCTATTAATGAGTAAATGATGGTAAAGTATTTGTTGTAAGAAGGCCAGGAGCTTGTCTAAGTTACTACTGCATTTCTGAAAAAGCCACCCTTGCATCTTTTTTGCCAAGTTTAGAAATCAACAGATGATGCAGGAGGATGGATTGGAAGACAATGTCAAGGCGTCTTCCATCTCCAAGGCTCCAAGTTTAGAGAACAATGTTAAGAGACACTTGGACTGATGGTCTCTGAAACCATGTCTCACCTGCAGAAGCTCTATGTCTTCAGGGTTCTCAGACCCAGGAACATTCTCCATCAGGATGGCGGACATCACTTTCACATTCATCTTCACCATGTCCAGCTCACTGTGCAACTTGCCAATCTGTGGAAACCAACACAGTCACCGGTCAGGATGTGGACACCCTTGTTTCTTTCTCTCAGTGTTAAAAATGAAGGGGGGAAATCAGATTAGGAACAATGTGGAGAAGGGGAAAGGTAACTATACCAGGGACCTGGACAAAATGGAAAATGTTAGCCTGGGTTTCTTGGCAGCTGATGGGAAAAAGGAAAAAAAGAAGGTGGCACAGTTTTACTATTAGGGAAGGAAGGATTAAGAGACACTATTTTTTCTTCCTGGATTAAATTCTAAGAGAATTAACTACAAGGATTTTTTTTTTTAAAGGGTAGTGTTATTTATTTATTTACTTTTAAATCCTCACCCAAGGATATTTTCCCCATTGATTTCTAGAGAGAGGGGGAGGGAGGGAGAAAGACAGAAAGAGAGAAACATCAATGTGAGAGACACATTGATTGGTTGCCTCCCACATGCACCCCAACCAGGGCCAAGGATTGACTGCAACCAAGGTACATGCCCTTGACCAGAATTGAACCCGGGTCCCTTCATTCGCTCTATGCACTGAACATAATCTACTAGGGCTCCATACATTTTTATGTAATGCAGAATAATAATACAACAAAGTCTTCAATAATAGTTCCTTAAAGCAGCACAGAAAAGAGCTTCATACAGGGTGAGGCCAAAGTAGGTTTGCAGTTGTTTCTTATTAATTATTAATTATTATATTATTTCTATAACAACAACTGTAAATCTACTTTTCCACATACTGTATAATAATGGCTCATCTGGACCTCTGTTAAACAGATACAGACAAGTGTAATTCAGTTAGCACAATGAATACTCATAATAAGACTTCCATGCACTGAGGTTTCTGATATGGTGTTTGGACAGTCCTACTCAAAACCAATAAAAATCAGCTAGTTGGCACAAGGTCCATTTCACAGCCCAACCTCCACAAAGACACAAAAGCCAGTAGCCACGCAGAATTGTTCAGAGCATGGGCTTTAGGGTCAGACACAAACAATCCCAGGGCTTACATGCATTTAGAATTGACCCATGATATAATAAGTCACACAGAATCATTAAGCTCCAGCCGCCTCCTCTGCAGAATGAGGGTAATAATGTACCCCCACCTCATAACAGTGTGAAAAAGAATTTTTAAAAAAATGTATACCACCCCTTATCCACTGTTTTGGCTCAATGGATAAGCGTCAGCCTGCATACTGAAGAGTCCCAGGTTCGATTCTGGTCAAGGGCATGTACCTTGGTTGCGGTCACATGCCCACGGGGAGTGTGCAGGAGGCAGCTGATCAATGTTTCTCTCTCATCGATGTTTCTAACTCACTGTCCCTCTTCCTTCTTCTCTGTAAAAAATCAATAAAATATATATTTTTAAAAAATGTATACCAACTGCTAAGAACTTAGAAAAAGTCATCAATACATTCAGTTGTTGCTACTGTTACCTGTTCTGGGACCAGTGTAATAGTTGCATTCTTGGGAGCAACTACAGAAGAAAGAGCTGGTGCAGTAGGAACAGATGCAGGTGGATTTGATGAGATTTGAGCAGTCTGTCAAGAAGAAATACGGAAAGATTATTATTTAACAATTATGACCATAAACACCCTAAGCCCAGTTTTTTGTTTTTTTTCCATTCAGATGACTCCATCACTTTCTCTCAACCAAAATCCAAGTTTAGAGGCTGTTAGCCAGAGTCAATCACCAAGTGTCCAACCTGCCCACATTTTGAGAACGTTGTTAAGCAAATGGCAAAATAGAGTAAGTAGAAGGTGGCTGTTATGATTATTAACTGAATTGAATTTTAATAAAATGCTCTTAGATTTTTTACCCAGGGTCTATAAGACAAATTGCCCCGTGAGATTACTGCTGTCCTCTTTTGGGTTGTAAAAAACCAAGGGTAAATCAATTCGTGTCGAGTCTTTTGAAGCCACAGCTGGCGAGGCATCTCCTTTCCCACCAATGAGCCTCTCTGAATCCACGCTCCACTTCCAACCCCGGATGGAGAGCCAAGTACAGGGCTTGAGGCCAGTGCTTCTCAACCTGAATGTGCAGAAAAGTCACCTGGAAACCTTGCAAAAATGAGCCTCTAATTTAGTCGAGGATAAACTAGAGATGATACCCCAAATCACACTTTGAGTAAGTAGCAAGGTTCAAGACCATTACTCCACTGTGCCGTGGGAGACAACAAAAGGGGTCTGATGAGCAGGTTCACGGGCGGGTGAAAGAATGGGGCCAAAGGCGAATGGCCACACAAGTAGAAGATCTGGCCCTGCGGACAGAGCCTCCTTGAAGATAAGACTTGTGGTACTGCTTATTCCACCAAAATAAAACCAACCAGTCTAAAGAAAGAAAGGACTCCTGTTTTTTGCATCGTAGAAATTACGGAAAGTTAGGAGGTGAATTTAATCAGCCATCCAAAGGCTTTTAGTTCAAAACCTTGGAAATTATTTGCAAACTAGAGAATACATGTGAACATCTAGAAACTCTCTTACGGATACAGTATCAATAATAAACAACAGGCATATTATAAGACGTACCCAAGGTAAAGAACCAAGACGTTTTGTTTGAAAGCTGCCCTCTCTTCTACTCTAGCCAAATGATTTCTATTTGGAGCCATCATATCATATTTTTACATGAGTTCAGTTGCATTGTGCAGAAATTAAAAACTGACCCAGGTTGGTTCAGGGAGTCTCCTTCTCCCAGTTTTTTTTTTTTTTTTTTTTTTTTTTTTTTTTTTTTTTAAACTTGGAATCTGAAAATGCTAAAGCAATCACATGGAAAATTGGGAGCTATGTTATCTGCTATGTGGAAGAAGCTGTTGTGCAATGAGAGAGAGGAATGAAGCTGGTGATCAGAGGAACATCTAGAAGAAAACAAGAAACAAGGCATTTGAGAGCTTGGTCCCTGGTTGTTCAAAAGATCCAGCTAGCACCAACCTCTTGTGGCTTCATTATTCGAGGAGATACTGTAATATCCTTCTAATACATTCACTTTCCTGCTTAAGCTGGATGGAGCTGGGACTGTCACATACTAACTTACTCTACATGAGTCAAAGAAAAGACCTCCTACCTCTTGTTCTGCTGCTTCTGCCTCTGCCTCAGAGGGAGGAAAGTGAACACCTTTCTTAAGCAGGTCAAGGTACACGTCCTTCACCTCACTCACATCCACACCTCCCGGGAAGCCCTGAGACCACGTCTGAAAACAGCAGCAAACACAAAACACAATTCTTCAGCTGGTGACCGAAAATGAGAGATTGACGATTACGGACTTTATACAGAGAGAGAAAGCTACTTTTGAAGGACAAACTGCTACATTTTCAGAGACTAGAACAATAATATACAATATGTTTAAGCCCAGCCAGCTGGCTCAGTGGTTTAGTGTCAGTCTATGAGTCAGGAGGTGATAGTTTGATTCCCAGTCAGGGCACATGCCCTGGTTGCAGACTCGATTTCCAGTGTGGGCTGTGCAGGAGGCAGTCGATCAATGATTCTCTCATCACTGATGTTTCTCTCTCTCTCTCATCCTCCCTTCCCTTCCTAAACCAATAAAAATATATTTTTAAAATAAAAAAAATATAATATGCTTAATCATCAGACTCCCATGCCTCAATATTTTAATGAGACCCTGGAATGTATATTATTAATTACTTATTGCTGTACCAAATCCAGAATTAATACACATATTCTAAAACAGCATCAGTAGCTCTTTTGGCAAATAACTTTGTAAGCAGTCAGTTATCTTCCAAATATATAGTTTTCACATCTATAAAATGAATGTATACATTACTCTCTTTCCTACCTGATATGGAGAAAATAGAAATAGAGAGAAAGCAGGAAAATTACTACAAATTCTCTTGGATAAAAAAAGCACCATCCAATAATATATATTATTATTATTATTATTACACAGAAAATCAAACAGTAAAATGCTGTCTGGCTCCATCAGAGGTTTGTGAAGGATGAGGAGACCAATGGTATATAATGGAACCTCTAATTGTAGAAGTGTCCCATCCCATTCGGTATACAATTGACTTACCTTAATGAAATTCAAAATTCTATTCTGAATGCTTAATGGCAAGGTGTATCTGGGTTGCAGCAGCTTAACTAGACTATCTTTAACAAACTCCTTCTTCACAATCAGAGACTGGAAACTTGGACCACAGTTCTGCATGCACATGTCAATAAGCTAAATTAGAAGGGAAAAAATTAAATGGTAAATTTCTTTGGTAAAACCGTTTCCTAAATATGAGGTGAAAATTGCTACATAACAATTTCTACCAGCATTCTCATTAACAAACAGAATTTAGTGTCTACGAAAACATATGGGAAATGTTAGGTTCTGGGAATTCGAGAAAGTGTAAGGCATAATGTAACTGCTTAGAGCAGCAATTCTCAACCTTTTTCATCTCAAGGCATACATAAACTATCAAAATTCTGTGGACTACCAAATAATCAGTTGGGTTTTTTTGTTTATTTGTTTGGTTTTTTTTTGTTTTTGTTTTTTTTGCCAATCTGACAAAAGTAGGTATAATTTTCATTGATTTACAAAAAATAATAGTAATTTAGTAAATACCTACACTTTTTGCTCCAAAGTAACTTTCAAAAAAAAAAAAAAAATCAAGTGCCTATACTTGTATCTAAGGATTTCTGGTACCAAGAATTAACCAATCAGATGTATGAGACATGACCAATAAGATGCAACTTTATCTATTATATGACTTATATACTTATGGTTCTCAAGACAGGGCATTCGAACCAGATGGCTATTATTGTTGGCTGTTGTCATTTTTTAATTTGACAATCTAAGGGGAAAGAGGTCAGTGGCCCCACTGAACAATCAGGGCAGCATGGTTTAAAAATTCTTGTGGCTCACCAGTTGAAAAATCGCTGGCTTAGAGGACAGACTTTCCGGGGGGGTCATGATACATAGTAGGACCTTAATAAATGGTATCTATTTTTTAAATAATTGTATTGAATTTATTGGAGTGACATTGGTTCATAAAACTACATAGGTTTCAAGTGTATACTTCTTTAATACTTCATCTATATATTGTATTGTGTATTCCTCACCTAAACCCTGGTCTCCTTCCATGACCATTTATCCCCATCTTATCCTCTTCTACCTGCCCCCACCCCACCTTCCTTTCTGTATTCACCATGAGATTTTTTTGTTTTTGTTTTTACTAATTCTATCACCTATTTCACCCAGCCTCCCCATCGTCCTGAGAGCTGTCAGTCTGTTCTCTATATCCATGAATCTGTTTTTCAATTTTGTTTGTTTAAATGGTAACTATTTTGATCCCCTGCTTCCATGCATATAATTTTCCAACAGGAGAGAACGTGCTGGTTAGCTGATAGAAGTATTCTTTTCCCGGAAGCTTGAAGAGAAAAAAAGCTACTTGGTAGTTTTAGTTCTCACAGTGACTAATCCAAGCACAGAAAACCAGGTTTGGGGCCACCCAGAGCTGAAGACCACCAGGTCTGGCCACCCTAGGGGCTGAGTTCACTCTGCAACAAACTCCTGGAGAAATAAACACATTTGACACGTATCCCGAAGCCCCATAGCTCTCCACCGAGGGTGTGCGCCACAAGGCCTATTAATTCATTGTTTCTTAGGAATCTGTCCAATCACTTTCTTTTCTTTTTTAAATTATATTTTATTGATTTTACACAGAGAGGAATTGAGAGGGATAGAGTTAGAAACGTCGATGAGAGAGATACATCGACCAGCTGCCTCCTGCACACCCCCCACTGGGGATGTGCCTGCAACCAAGGCACGTGTCCTTGACCAGAATTGAACCTGGGACCTTTCAGTCCGCAGGCCGATGCTCTATTCACTGAGCCAAACTGGTCTTGGCTGTCCAATCACTTTCCACTGGACAACAATAGCATCTTGCTGAGACTTACTGACTCATTCGAGAAAAGGCTAGCCTGGTAACAAAATGCTTCCTTCAAACAAAACTACTGGCTTCTTAACAAAACTGCTCCACCAACTGATAGTAGGAAATCAGTCTCGTCACATCCCATGGAAGACCTGCTCAAGGCTCATATGTCCATGGAGAACCCCGGCGTTGGATGTTATAAGGAACATTTATAATGGACTTATCTCTTCACTTCATAGTGATAAAATGGAAATGTCATCTATGGGGATTCATTTTAAAGAGTTTATTGGCAAACATAAAATTGCCTTTGATGCACATTAGATGCTGCCTTCAGTGACTAATTCCTGTCACAATCAAGTCTGGCTTAATGAGGCCTTCCACACACCTCAGCACTGCAGCGAGTAGTCTGAGGGGGTGAGGTGACAGGGCCACTAAATGGACACGTTGGGGAAATCTGCAAGAAGCTATCAAGAGACAAAAGTTAATATAAAAGAAATACAAGAAGCAGGTGAACTCAGACCTTCACAATGAGGGGCTATCCTGCCCCCCCATCTGCGACTCTCGCCCTTATTTTGGCACAGGTTTTAGATTCGTTTGTTCTCAGGTACTGGTGTGGAAATCATGAGCTGGAGGAAGTACATTTACCCAAGAGGGAACAGGTAATGAGAACAGACAGCCAGCTGGTAGTAAGGCTTGAGAGATCAGAGGACCTGAAGGGAAGAAAGGGGAACCCAACGTGAAATGGGGGGGTCGGAAGGGTGAGAAGAAACAGCGCTGTGGAATAACCCAATTTCCTCAGGGAAGGGTCCTGGTTCATCCTTGGAAGGAAGGAACCACGATGGAGAGAGATATGGAGCTAGAGGTGAGACACAACCATAGACATGTCAGTAGGCTGGGTACCATAGAGAAGAGACCAGCTCATTACAGAGGATAAACTTGTCAGAAGGCGAAATGATAACCACATGCTGAAATCTAGAAAGCGGCATAAATTCATCTTCTGACCTCATCTCCCTCACTCAAGTTTCCTAACCTTTGGCGGCCTGGAGATATTCAAGATCCACTTATTCCAAGACCATATGTGTTTCTCCCCAAATTCTACAGCCCCTTCTGTTAGACCTTCAGTATCCTCGACTACAGGAGAGGTGGTATTGGGGGTGGGCACTAAATCATTAAGTCAGCATCATTAAGTGATACATGATAGATGGTCCTGCACCAGGCATGGAGGACTTGAAGACATGAATGACATAAAATATCATGGGCATGTCAAGCACAGCATAGGGAATACAGTCAATAATATTATAATCACTACGCAGGACCAGTTGAAATATAGGGGGGGAGGAGGGGACACTATAAAGTATGTGATTGTCTAGCCACTAAGCTTTACATGCACCTGGAGCCAATACAAAATATTGGGAAAAATAAAACATTTGAGGAAATTAAAAAAAAAAATACAGTAGCCCATTCTCTCAAGCGGCACGATTTGTTCCAAGAAACAAGATGGTATGGGCATGGGCATGGAATTTAGACTCTGAGGACATGCTATTTAAATCTTGGGGGGCAGGAATCACTTAATCTCACTGGTCTCAGTTTCTTCATCTGTGAAATGGAGTTAACGGTACACCTATTTCACAGTTATCGAGAGCATCAATCAGGTATCAGGTAAAGGCTTATTTCCATCATTGACCCATTGTACAGCTATTTCTACTGAAGTGTCCCCCTCCTCCCCAGTTCCCTCTGTTCTGTGACCTCCCTGAGGTGGCTGCTATGGTAAAGGACAAGGGAAAGGTAAAAAAAAAAAAAAAAAAAAAAAAAAAAAAAAGGAGAAAGAGGAAAATGCTCTAAAACTACATTCAGTCCCAGCCCAGCCCGAGTGGCTCAGTTGATTGAGGGTTGTCGCATGCACTGAAAGGTTGCTGGTTTGACTCCTGTCAGGGCACATACCTAGGTTGTGGATTTGATCCCCAGTTGAGGAGCACAGGAGAGGCAACCAATTAATGTTCTCTCTTTCTCTCTCTCTCTCTCTCTCCCTCTCTCCCTCTTTTTCCTTCCCTCTCTCCCCCTTCCTCTCCCTCAGCATGTCCTCAGGTGAGAATTAAAGAAAAAAGAAAAAGAAAACTATATCAGCTCCCAACTGAAGAATTTCTCTAGTGAAAGCGTCATTAAGACGTTTCTCATTCAGTTACTCTCCAGGTAAGCAACATGTGAGACGTTTTCTCTCCCAAGAAACAGGAGTTGTGCTCACCTCTGCCCCATGGCCCTCTAATCACTCCCAAAGCCCCTAATGGCAGTGTGGTGCTGGCTGATTAGTGCTACAACCATGCGTGGCCTGGGGCTGGGCGGAGGCCCAAAGGCATGCAGAAAGAACCAGAAAGCCACACAGCTCACTCGCAGGCAGCAGGCAAGGCTTGCAAACATCCCAAAGGAAAAGGGCAACTCACCAGAGTGACTGAAGAGGTCATATGCCCAAGGATGGGGGGAAATGGTAACAGGTCACATAAGTGTGCGTACTCAACCCACAGACAATATGGCGCATGGAGAATTACTTAGAACTTTCTCCCCATTGCAACAAGCAGCAGAACTTGGTTGAAACTTAACGAACTGCCAGCACCTTGGAATTCCACAAAGGTATTCAAGCGCAATACAAAGCTGACGGGAAAGCACTTTCCCAAGATTTTAATTCCCACCCTGTGTAACATATACACACTTTTTGATTAGCTCAGTACCTGTAAGTTTAACCACCAGTTCCCATCTCCTGACCAGAAAAATTGACTTTCCAGGAACACTTTTCCCACAAAACGAAATGCTATTACAATCAACCAAACTCTCTGGATGCTGCAATTCTCAATAAGCAGTTGTAATTCAAATTGTAAATAACTTTTTGCTAACCTATTAATTATCTCAGAATCAAAATGTGACTATAGCTTGGGAAATCCTAGAGTCTTAATTATAACGTGAAAGTACTTACTGACAAGGTAAGTTCAATTTCTTTATGATTGTAGTTTTTGGAAATCCTTTTCTTCAAAGCTTTTACGGCATCCTTTGGCCTACAGCAGTAAATGCAATGTAATCATCAGTTAGGCATTGCTGAAAACCAGGAGTCTCTGCAAACCACTGCGCACTGTGAAAGGAGGGATGGCTACAGGGAAGACAGAGGCTTTGGCTCTGCTGGGTGAGCCTGGCAGCTCTCCTCCCACCTGTTTCCTCAGACATCTAACCTACCCCCTGCGAGAATCAAGTAAAATATTTACTATAGCACTGTTCACAATAAAAACCGGACGCTTAAATATCCAGTAGTGTGGGATTGAATAGATAACTTATGGTAATCCCTATTAATACTCTCTGGCCCTAGCTGGTTTGGCTCAGTGGATAGAGTGTCGGCCTGTGGACTGAAGGGTCCCAGGTTTGATTCTGGTCAAGGGCACATGCTTGGGTTGCAGGCTTGGTCCCCAGTGTGGGGCAGCTAATCAATGATTCTCTTTCATCGTTGATGTTTCTATCTCTCTCTCCCTCTCCTTTCCACTCTGAAATCAATAAAAATAAAATAAAATAAAATAAAATAAAAAAATACTCTCTGGCTTTTCAAAATGTCTTAAGTGGAATAATAATTAAGACTCAGAAAAAAGAAGTGGATTATGAATCAATATTCTAAAATGTTAACTATAATTTTATTTGAGTGGTGAGTCATTTGTGATTTGTATTTTATGTTTATCTGCATTTTATAAATTTTCTCTGAGAGCCGAAGCTGGTTTGGCTCAGTGGTAGAGCATTGGTCTGTGGACTGAAAGGTCCCAGGTTCGATTCCAGTCAAGGGCATGTATAATACATAGGTTGCAGGCACATCCCTGGTAGGGGGTGTGCAAGAGGCAGCTGGTCGATGTATCTCTCTCATCGATGTTTCTAGCTCTCTATCTCTCTCCCTTCCTCTCTGTGAAAAAATCAATAAAACATATTAAATAAAAAAATAAAAAAATTTTCTCTGAGATTCACATGCGTGTAAATGTTTTTGAAAAACGTTTATTTAAAATTAAATTAACCAGTTGCACACACACAAAACAATTTTTATATGAGAGTATTATTTAGAAAGTACTACATATGAAATGTATTCATCATACTCTGTTCCTTCTATCAATGTATAGAACACTTATACAGAAAATGTAATTTCCACACAATGACAGTTTCCCATTTTGATTAAGACTATTAGTATTTCCTGAGTATCCTACAGGCAGGGAATAAAGGAAGCATTACAACTCACGAGATCAGCTTCTGATGGGCTACAATTATGATACAAAAGGAAGAACTGTATCGTATTAAATGGAGAGTCAAAATTTATTTTGAGATGGTCAAAAGGTACAAACTTCCAGTGAGAAGATACATAAGTCATGGGGTTGCAATCTACAACATGCTGCGCCTTATGGTACATTTGAAAGTTGCTGAAAGTAGACTGTAAAAGTTCTCATCAGGAGGGAAAAAATTATTTTAGAATTATATTTGGTGAGGGATGTCAACTAAACTTACTGTGGTAATCATTTGCAATATAGGTAAGGCAAGTCATTATGCTGAACCCAGTACGCCTACACAGTGCTATATGTCAATTCTATCTCAATAAAACATAAATAAATACAAATCATTTTTACATATTACCTTCGAATTTGTTATGTTTGCATGGACCTATTTTTATTATATGATGATAATGATATAATATTACATATGCTTACATGGAATTGTCACTATTATAAAATACATGATTATATAGATTTTTCTATATTTCTAAAAAAATCCTATATAACATCTAAAAGTAAAGTCTTAGAGAAGTTTAAAAGAATAAAGATACTATTTTATTTGTTTGTTAGTTTATTTATTTTTTTAATCCTCACCTGAGAATGTTTTTCTATTGATTTCAGGGAGAGTGGAAAAGAGAGGGAAAGACAGAGAAAAACATCAGTATGAGAGAAACACATGGATTGGTTGCCTCCTGCACAAGTCCGACCAGGGCCCGGGCCTGGGAGGAGCCTGCAAGGGAAGACCCTTGACCAGAGTCTAACCTGGGACCCTTTGGTCCACAGGCTGTCACACTCTCCACTGAGCCAAACCCGCTAGGGAAGAGATACTATTTTAAAAAGGGAAACTTTTTTTACTTTGAGATTCCTTTCTTGTATCATTAATGAGGAAATCAGTATTACCAATAAAGAAGGGTTCACAGAGGAACCAAATATGGAAAATAAGATTACAACAAAAGCACCATAATCACTTCATTAACCATAAGCACGTTCCACTGATATAGTCAATAATTTAGTGTAATGCTTTCTTCAACATACATTACACGAAATCACTTTTGCTGTCACTTATCACTTTAACACACACTGTAAAATGAACAAATTTCATCTCTCATAGCAATCTATAATTCAGGCTAAATTCACACAATAGCTGGCCTTCTTAATTTTTTCAAAACTTCAATTCTCTCAGTTTCAAAGTGTAACAAAAGATTAAGCGTCATTTGAAAACACAGCATGAACATGGGCAAATTGGCCTTCAGAGGGGGAAAAAAATCTATCTTTTTGACAGGGAGAGGAAAAAATGGCTGCTAGATTATTTCCTGGTTACAATAATGACAACTGTCCGGGGACAGATCACCCCAGGAGGCCACTAGCTTCTTGATAACATTTTTCAGTTACAGTAACATAAAATAATGAGAGCAGGGGCAATTCCTAAAGAAGAAAAAATCTCTCTCTTTCTCTCTTTCTCTCTCTCTCTCTCTCTCTCTCTCTCTCTCTCTCTCTCTCTCTCTCTCTCTCTAATATTTGTCTTAAAGAACAAGGAATGTGAACCAAAATTCGAAACGATTAAGGAAAGGGTGAAACGGAGGAAAAAGAAAATGGAATCTCAGACTCTGCACATGCTGAAACAAGCAGCTCTCCTAATATTTCAACCTGACGTGTCATCAAAAGGCGGTGGGCATCACCTAAGGGGGAGAAGGGGATGAAAACACTGTCTCAACCAGAAAAGCAAAGCATTTGCAAAAGAAAGTACACTGTAGCTCTGATGCCTCTTGGCAGAGGCAGAGGCAAGAACCACACTGTACTCACCCGTCGCTGGCAGTGTTGATTATGTCACAAATGTGCAAGAACTGGCCCCAGTCTTCAGTCTGCACGCCTGCGAACGTAGCCTTTTCTGCAAAGAAAACACAGTTGTGCTTGACTCTGAGCTACAACAGGGTAAAAAATGGCCGGTCTTCCTGAAATCACCTGCCTGGGGTTTGTTAGCAAGCACCATGAGGTTTACATTGCCAAAGGGCAAAGGGATTTTTTTCCTTCTTCTGAGCAATTCCCAGTAATTCAGGAATCAATCAGAACTCAAGTTCAGAGTGCTGCGGTAGCAACAGTAATGAGTGACCTATTAATACAGGCCGCAGGCACCACGCCTGGCTGCCAGGCAAGGCCAGGGTGGCGAAATCTCCATCTGCCTGCCCGCTCTTCAGAGGGCACCTACCTAGCAGCCACCTAGAAGGAGCAGCGCATAGTGCTGAGTCTTTTAGCTTATGCAACGTCCTTTTTACCCGCTGTTAGAGAGGATGAAGCAGAAGTTCAGAGAAGTTAAGGAAAGTACACAAGGCTACACAGTCAGTACAAGGTACAACTAGTGTTCAAATCACAGTCGTCTGATGCCACTTTTTGTTTCTCAAAATCATTCATTGACCTGGAGGAGGTGCTGTCAAGAAAAAGGGATCAGCCAGGCCAGAGTGGCTCAGTGGTTGAACGTCGACCTATAAACCAGGAGGTCACGGTTCCAGTCTTGGCTGGGGCACATGCCCAGGTTATGTTGGCTGGATTCCCAATGGGGGCATGCAGGAGAGAGCCAATCAGTGATCCTCTCTCCTGATCACTGTTTCTATCTCTCTCTCTCCCTCTCCCTTCTTCTCTGAAATCAAGAAAAATATATTTGGGGGGGGGGGGAGATCAGAACTACTCAAATTGTGCCCTTTAGCAGTAGAGCAAGGTCACCCCTAGTACTAATCAAAGTGGTGCCAGGCCTACTTAAACATTCCGGTATTTTTCCCCCTCCAGACATCCTCCTTAAGAATATAAAATGCTGTCGAAACAGGTTTGGCTCAGTGGATAGAGCATCGGCCTGTGGACTGAAGAATCCCAGGTTCGATTCCGGCCAAGGGCATGTGCCTTGCTTGCAGGCACATCCCTGGTGAAGGTGTGTGCAGGAGGCAGCTGGTCAATGTTTCTCTCTCATCGATGTTTCTAACTCTCTGTAAAAAAGTCAATTTAAAAAAAAAAATGCTGCCTGAGGCGGATAATGGAACACTCGACCTGAAAATACCAGGTCCTAGGGGGAATGAAGAGAAAACAGAAAAGGATAACAAAGAGAAAGAAAGCACACCACTACAAGTTTGGCTGGGGAAACTGCTCCCCGTCTAGGAAAAGAGTTCCTTGAGTCTGGCCTTCCATGGAGGCCAGACACAAGCCTGACCGATCTTGTGTTGTCTAAGCACACACTATCATCACTCCTTCTGCCAGGCTCCGTGCTCCTCATTCCACACTGCCTCCAACCTTCCTAGAAAACTCTTCAAAAGCCAAGGCCGAGTCACCTCTCCCTTTCCCCACGTTTTGGGTGTGGTACATTTGTCTTGTATTTGTCAAGGTACCTATATGACAGTCACTACAAAACTGTGTCCGTCTTCCCTACGAAACTGTGCATTCCCTGGGGGCTGAGACCAGGTCTTGCCTTTGCCAAGCAGGTCCAAGCAGTCGGGAAACATTCGCATCATTAAAAAAGACAGGTTTGGGAAGATGCCATCTGAATCCATTTCTGCTCTGAATCCATCTCGGCTCAGAGTTTATTTCCTATCCAATAGGGGGATAGCCAGCTACAGTTCAGAAACCATTTTCCCCAAAGGCTAGCCACTCTCACCATTTTATAAAGACCTGGGAACTGAAGATCGGGGAAGGGGTGTGTTCCATGTCCCACAGCAGCTAATAAAGCTGCAGCTCCAACTCCCCAGATCCGAACCTCCTCGCCTCACTAAGTTCCTCACAGCATCATGTTTTGCTTGGCATCAGATGCACCGATGCCAACGCCCGCTTCCCAAAGGAGGCATCAGGGAGAAGAGGGAGAAGAGAGCTGGGGCTAGTCGAACAGTCTGGTCCCTGGCTCCTGCGGACAGTATTCAGATACAGCCACAGGGGACACGAATTAGGCAGATCCCTGCGTGGTCCCTGGCGCCTTGAGAGGCCTCTGGTGCCTCCAGATAGCCCCTGGGCTCCCTGCTTCCTGCAGGCCAGGTCCGAGCATTTGCCATCTCTTTGTTTACAGGGAGAAGGAACTCAGGTCGTCAGGGCTCGGCGCCAGGGAGAACAGGTTTGCAGGGACCCGCCTCTCGCAGGGAGGTGACATCACTTCACCTCCTTGACCCTTCTGGTCTGTCTTCCTCTGCAAAAACGGTCGGAGCGATCCTGTGCCTCCGCCAGGTCGGACTTCAGGACGAAGTTTAAGCGCAATCCTTGGAGAGGCCCAGGCAACCCACACCTGACTCCCACGTGTGGCTCACCTGTTGGGTCCACTCCCCAGAAGGCATGCACGGGGGATGGGGAAGCAGGCTTTGGAGGAGGGGGTTCTAGAAAGAGTGGGCCCTCCAGAGCTGCCTTCCAGGAGACCGGAGGGATGCGAGTGGCCCGGGACATTGCGGGGGGTGGGGAAGGATTTCCTCCAACTTGGACCAAGTCTGTCCTCCTCCGCAGGCCTCGAAGGGAGTCCAACAGGAAGGGTCCCCCTGAAGCAACCCCCCCCTCACCGCCTCACGGGGCGTCTGCCCCCCGCGTCCCTTTACCTATCAGGTGGCCCACGGAGGTCGCAAACGGATCCCGGTGACTCTTCCCAAACGCCATGGCAGCCCGACCGAGCGGGGCCCGGGAGAAACGCCTCCCCGCGCTCGGGCTCCACCCGCTCCGGGTCCCTGGCTCCTCCTCTCCGCCTGATCGCTTCCCGGGCTCCGGGCCGAGGCAGAGCGGGGTCCGGCCCGGCCGCTGCGGGGCGCCCGGCACCGGCGGGGAGAGCGGGGCGGGGCCGCGGGGCGGGGCGGGGCTCCGGGCGCCGCACCTGCCGCGCCCCGGGGCCTGGGGGGCGGGCGGCGCTGCGGGCCCGGGAGGACCGGTGGATCCGGGGCGCCCGCTGCCAACCCAGGTGGGCTTCTCGCCCGGGCCCCCCATCCCCGGAGCCATAGCCTGGGGATGGAGACCCCAGCTCGGATCCCTCCCGCCGCCTGGTTGGGCTGGCACATTGCTGCTTTTCCGCGGCGCCTTTTGCTCAGAGAGGGAAATAGAGGGTGAAGCACACACATCTCAGGATGATGATGAGCATCAGGGACGTAAGCCGCTGAGATCTGTGTCTGGCACCCACAAAATACATATTTAACCGCTGAGTAAACAGAGAAACTACAAATATTGACTCCCACCCGCACCCTTGACCCGGAGATCCTGGAAGGGAGGTGTGTCCCTGGGCCTTGAAAGCTGCAGGTGATGGGCTGGCTTTGAGGTTAGGAGCCTTTCAATAGCCCACGTGCTTTGTCTTGCTCTTATTTCCTTTGTCTCACGCCATCCAGCAAGCTCTGGATTCCTAACCCTCCCCGCTGGGAGCCCTGTGTTTCAGCCTTGCTGAGGAGAGGAGAAGAGGGGAAGGGAGGAGAGAAAAGGGGAGGGAAGGGAAGGGGAGGGGAGCGGAAGGGAGGAGAGGGGCTTTCCGGGTGCTCAGGCTTGGAGTGTGTTTGGCCTCAGCAATGTTCTGGAATGTAAACATAAACCCTGGTTTAAGTATCCAACCCCTTTCCAGCTGCCCCTTCAGAAGGGGAATTTCTTTCTTTTTCCTGTGCATTCAATTAACTTCTGATTCCCCGATGTTAATTTCCAGCAATGCCAGAGTCTGCTAGGGAGTGGGGTCTCTCTCCTGGGGATGGCAATAAGCCACAGATGGGAACCCCAGCCTCTAGCTCTTGCTTCCTGATGTCCACCTGGGCCCAGTTCTATTAGCCTTTCTTGTAATGGGGAAAAGAGGGAATGGGAGCTTGGCTGACTGAGGCCCTTCGTCATATTATTTTAAAATAGAAGTCAAAATCAATCATCATATGTGCCAAGGGCTAACTTTTCTCTCTCTCTCTAATTCTGTTATTTCTCACTTTTCTTGTTCTAAGTGAGCTAATACCTGGGATCCTAAAATCTCAAATAAAACATTTTGTGTTGTGATGGTTTTTCTCATAATAGGATTGGTCCTACCTGTAGCTAACTTACCCAGTGTGAGTAGCTAATTCAGGTGGTATTATTTTACAGATTAGGAAACCCACAGAAAATACTTATTTACACAATCACCTTGCTGGTGAAGGAGTGTCTGATTCCAGAAGCTGTGACTTTGACCTTTAAACTGTTCATTTGGGTAGAGCCCTAGGTAGTAGGTGGCACCCTTGACTACTTCACACTGGGCATGTGCCAGAGAATGAGAAGGCTGACCATGGCAAAAACATGTGTCTAGAGACACCAAGCTCTCTGCAGCTAAGAGTCATTTTTATTCGCTTATTTAATTCTGTTCTTTTTTAAAAAATATATATTTTATTGATTTTTTACAGAGAGGAAAGGAGAGAGATAGAGAGCTAGAAACGTTGATGAGAGAGAAACATCGACCAGCTGCCTACCGCACACCCCCACTGGGGACGTGCCCGCAACCAACGTACATGCCCCTAACCGGAATCGAACCTGGGACCCTTCAGTCCGCAGACCGACGCTCTACCACTGAGCCAAACCGGTTTCGGCTAATTCTGTTCTCATCACTAAATTTCTTCAGTTGTCAGATCTGGGCATGACCTTAGAAATCAAAATTTCTAACCCTATCTTCATTTTATAGATGAAAAAAACAAAAAATGACAGCCAGAGAAGGGAAGTGACAAGGCCATTCAGCTCCAGGCTGGAAGAATGCAATGTAATAGTTTAAACCCTGAGTCCCAAACTCTTTCCCCCTACAGACACCTCCTCTCTGTTTTAATATTTAAATGTGTTCCTCCACCTTTCTCCAAAGTATTTTCTTTGGCCCTCTCTTTTTTTAAAAAATATATATTTTATTGATTTTTTACAGAGAGGAAAGGAGAGATATAGAGAGCTAGAAATGTCGATGAGAGAGAAACATCAAGCAGCTGCCTCTTGCACACCCTCAACCGGGGATGTGCCCACAACCAATGTACATGCCCTTGACCGGAATCGAACCTGGGACCTTTCAGTCCTCAGACCAACGCTCTACCACTGAGCCAAATGGGTTTTGGCCTTTGGCCCTCTCTTAATCCCTCTCTTTTTTCAATGGTTCCATTTCCGAATACCACCCTCTCTGTCTCCCCCAGGTATCCCACTCTGGAAACTGATTTCCACACCCATGTGATCATCAAGTCTAAGCCATTTCTCAGCCTCACTTTACCCTCTCTGTAGTATTTTATGCCCCACCTATTAGCCATCCTTTCCTCCATCACCTTTCAAGGTACTTTATCCTACATTCCCATTTCCTCCCTGGCCTACAAAATCTAAGTAAGCTACTCCATAGTTCTCAAGACTTTCCTGCCAAAACTGGTTTGGCTCAGTGGTAGAGCGTCGGCCTGCGGACTGAAGGGTCCGAGTTCGATTCCGGTCAGGGGCATGTACATTGGTTGAGGGCACATCCCCGGTAGGGGGTGTGCAAGAGGCAGCTGGTCGATGTTTCTCTCTCATTGATGTTTCTAGCTCTCTATCTCTCTCCCTTCCTCTCTGTAAAAAATCAATAAAATATATTAAAAAAAAAAAAAAAAAAAAGACTTTCCTCTTTCTCCAATCCCCTCAGGGTTCCTTCTTGTCCCTTCTCTATGAAGTATTTTCCTACCACTCCCAAGAGAATTGAGCCCTCCACTCTTGTTCTACCTACACATTTTCATCTTAGAGTTCACAACACTTTATATTACTTCTTTGTTTAGAAATTTGTTGGTTGGACTAATATCCAGACACTTAACAAGCCTTAAGGGATGTTTATTGAATGAATGAATGAATGAATTGCTCTTCAAAACATTGAGATGCTCTGTCCTTTCTGTAATCCAGTTTTTTTTAAAAAATATATATATATTTTATTGATTTTGTACAGAGAGGAAAGGAGAGAGATAGTTAGAAACATTGATGAGAGAGAGTCATCGATCAGCTGCCTCCTGCTGATTGGTTGCCTCCAGCACGCACCCTGACCAGGCCAGGAATTGAACCCACATCTTTTCTGTTGCCGGGGAAATGCTCTAGCCACTGAGCAACTGAACAGGTCATAAAACTGACCCACTTTTACACAATAATTTTGCCTACTATTTTTTGAAAACCATTATGTACAAAGATATATGTTGATATTATTTTGTTATTCTTTCTCTTAGGATCACCTCTCTCAGCTTCACATGGGAGCTAGCTCCTCCTCTCTCTCCTACTCCCACCCCAAGAATTGTTTGCTTTCATTTCTATAGGCTTTCCCTAAATTCAGAGACCCAAGATGAGAGGGGAAAAGGCACAGTATGAGTAGGCACTATACTCAGTGCTTTGGTTATAAACAAAGAATCATTACCCCACTCCCCCCCTTTTTTTAAAAATATATTTTTATTGATTTCAGAGAGAAAGGGAGAGGGAGAGAAACATCAATGATGAGAGGGATTGGCTGCCTCCTGCACACTTCCTACTAGGGACCGAGCTCGCAACCAGCATGTGCCCTTGTGCCCTTGAGCAGAATTGAACCCAGGACCCTTGAGTCCACAGGCCCATGCTCTATACACTGAGCCAAACCAGCTAGTAGGGAATTATTCCCCTTTTAATATCTGTCTTGCCTAAAGCCACTCGGAATTGGGAGATGGATTTGAGTTTGTTTGCCTCGTTCTGAAGCTTAGTCCCTTTTCCATTTTTATCTTGCTGCACCCAGCACAAGGATCTTATCACTGATGAGGAGTGCCTGTGGCCTCTAGCCTGCCTTCCCCATCCAGCCGTGCCAAGCAGAAATGTGTTGATTTGGAGGAGACCACTGAACCCTGAGTCAGACCTGGGAGAAGACACACCCCTGGGTGGAGCTGGGAAATGCTAATAAACATGCCTCCAGGTTAGAGTCCATATAGCTCTGCTGGGCCTGTGCAGAGGCCCAGAAACCTGGAGGACAAGGCAGTCTGCCAAGTGCCAGCTCACCGAGAAGGAGGTGGAGAAGGAGGAGGAGGACGTGGAGGAGGAGAAGGTTGAGACATATAAACCAGACTCCAGCAGTAACTCAGAGCCACACAACTTTCTGACCAGTTTGAGCTCGTTTGGTGCCCTGAGCCTTTTGCTTTGTCTTGAATAAACTCCTTCCCTTGATTTCTATCCTGAGGGTGGAGGGGTCAAGAATCTTGGCGCTGGTAACAGATTGACTTTAAACATTTAACCTTCCTCCAATATTGAACTTTAAGCCATGCAAATGCTTTCATTAGCTGCCTCAACATGAAGCTCCAGAGAGATCTAAAGGGCATTTGTTGGCTAAGTTTGTCACCTCCAAGGATTCCTTTGAGGCTTAAAGCCAACTTTTTATGTGGAAAATAAACGAAGGGAACCAATGTGTTTATGAACCTAAGCCGAGTAGCTTTCTGTAGGGCTCATGACCTCACCAGTTCATGCTTGCCTCATTCGGGGATCTGTCATTTTAATTCCTGGGTGTTCAAATGTGCAAATCGGAATACCTGGGTTCAAATCCCAGCTCTAAGGTGATAACAAAAATTCCAACTTCAGAGAACTGTTTTGAAAAATAATGAGGTGTAGGTATAGCACTCGGAATGGTGCTTGACAGAATCAAGTTCAGTAAATATTAACTAATTATAATTTCCTCCTTTGAGCCTACCAGG